TTTTAAAATTTTATAAAAAAAAATTTTTTTTGGTGTGGGGGAAGACCCCCGGTTTTTTTTTTTTTTTTTTTTTTTGCTTTCTTAAAGTGGTGTGTTTGTCTGTGTGTAAGTATTTTGCACACCCAATCAGGGGAAAATTTAAATGAACCACTTATAAAACCATCTTTTGCATAAATAACTCTCATTAAACATGTTGATTCTTCTCTTCCAGCCAATTTCTGCTGCATTTGGGATCATTTTTCTGTTGATAACCCAGTTTGGACTCATTCTGGACTAATTGTCTCAAATTTGAATCAATAATAGTTTGGTATGCATCATGACTGGACAATATGGCTGTTAAAACGTATCACAAGCATTTCATATCAGTCGAGACAGATAATTATTGATTCGTTTTTGTTTTAAATATCTGAAATACTGCCTGACGTTTCCGTCTTCATCCACAGCTTTCACTCCACGCTGTTGTTTATTTTTAAGCATTTATGAGACACGTTGGCGAAACCTTAAACTACTGCTGTGCAAGTTACTCAGCAAGTTGTTGCTAGGCAACCAAAGAGTGAGCGAGTTGCTAGGTAACCAAAGAGAGAATTAGTTGATTCCACCCACATAGCTTAGCTCGCTGTGAGAGATTGACAGCGAGGAGATGTAGACAGATGCCTACATCTCCCAGAATGCTGTGCAGTTCTGGATCAGAGTTCTGACAATATTCTATGATATTGATATGATATGACATAACCTGAATGTTCAAAGTGCGTGAAGACGACATACCGCCTGCAGATGCTGCCAGAGGTCTGTGTAGACGGTGTTGTCAAAGGCGAACTCCCTCAGGTAGCTCTGCAGGACAGGGAGAGATGTTATATCTCCATGTTTTAATAAATATATTTTAACAGCAGAAAATCCAAAAACTGTTTGATCATATTTTTCAGGAAGTCACCTGGAGTCCTTTGGTGAAGACCGGTTCAGTCAGGAAGTCTGACAGCATCCTGAGGACAGAGGCTCCCTGAAGATGAGAAGAATATCCACTTAGATCTTATTACACACCACCACAGATATTAGAAATGCAGAAGAGGAATAAAGTCAAGGCATTTTTATCCATCTTTGTTTACAATTTCTACAAGAGAGCTCTGATCACGACCTAAATATTAAGTTATGAACTAAATATTTAGCTAGCAAACTAAATATTTAATTCGCAAGTCACACTGAAAATGTAGTTGCAAATTAAATATTAATTTTCATAAATATAGTTTAGCTCTCTTGCTAAATATTTAGTTTGTGAAATATTTAGCTTGTAAACTAAATATTTAGCCCCAAGCTAAATATTTATTTTCCAAACAAAATATTTATTTTCTAAACTAAACAATTAATTTCCAAACTAAATATTTAGCTTACATCTAAATATTTAGTCTGCAAACAAAATATTTAGTTCATAGCTAATTACTTAGGTTGCTATAGCATGCAAACTAAACTAGATATTAAATTATTTAGTTCTCAAACTAAAGTTTTAGGTCGCTAACTAGCTATTTAACTCATAATTAAATATTTAGGTTGCTAGCTAAATATTTAAGTTGTATCCAACTGTTTAGATTGTTTGCTAAATATTTAGCTGATAACTACATACTTAGGTCCAAGCTAAATGTTTAGCTCATTCGCTTGCTAATAAGCTGAGGTGGACTACTAAATATTTTGTTTGTGAATGAAAAATGCTGACGTTTATAAATGTGAAAAATGAACGCCCACTTTTTTCTTTATGGAAGGCTAAATAAGCCGAAAGTATAGCTGTTCATTTCATTGTGTGTAAATTTACAAATGGCATCCCATATGCTTGTGTGTGCTTCCTGACCTTGCTGTATGAGATGGCATCGAAGAGCTCGCTGATCTGAGCTGGTTTCTGGATGTCGTCTTCAAGGGAGGACAGCGGATGAGACGACGTCAAAGCGTCAACTGCAAACACTCTGTGGACATCATAGAGGACTATCAGGTCTTTCTGCAGGAGACAAGAGGAAGGTGACTCCATTAAGAGCGCCATCGAACATCTGGAATGATAATTAGCATCAAACGTAGAGAAAATTCGTACCACGTTCCAGTCGGGTTCGGCTTTGTCTGCTCCCAGGTACTCCACGTATGAAGCAAAGCCTTCGTTCAACCACAAGTCGTTCCACCAGCGCAGAGTGACCAGGTTTCCAAACCACTGCAGGGACAACAGAGACAAGATGAGAAAATTACATCTATAAAAACTAAAATAAATAATGACCAAGCAGTCTGGGTCCTACTCCATAGGACCCAGACTATGGGTCCTATGGAGTCTCCCATGCCCCTTAGAGGACATGGGAGAAATTTGTTCACTACCTCACCAAAGTACGATGGAGTCATATTGAGAAAAAAATAAAATAAACTGATGAGAATAAAGTTATATCATGAGAATAAAGTCATAACATGGTGACTTTATTCTTGTAATAGAAAGATAAAGATTATAACGTTATACTATCAGGTGTTATGGCTGTTGATGACTGTTGGTATTTTTGTGCCACATTATTTTAAATATGTAAAGTAATTTCACCTGATAAAAACTAAATTTATAGTAAACAAGTTTGATGTCTTCTATTTCCCCAAATAGAGGAAACAGCCAACAACAGGAATAGGTTAACCTAATATTTGTGTAACTATAAAAATAATATTAGTTGTTTTTCCATTTTTCTTTGCACATTTAGTTTGTGTAAATAAAATAAATCCTCCATGTCCACTAGGGGGCTCCGTAGCGCTGTGCTTGCATCCTGTTCTCAGAAGTCTGGTTTATAATAAGAGAAGCTTTGGTGCATTTTGCCTCCAGATTTATTTTTTTATTTTATTTTCCTCATAACTCATAACAGTATGTGAATGTCTCTGCAGCTTAGCATTGATCTGAGCTCACCATGTGGGCCAGTTCGTGAGCAATGATGGTGGCTATCCTCTCTTTGTTGGAGTTGGAGGAGAAGGCCTCGTCATACAGCAGCCTCGTCTCTCTATACGTGATCAGACCCCAGTTCTCCATGGCTCCTGCGTTAAAATCAGGGATGGCGATCTGATCTGCAGGACAGAGGAGATTTTAAAAAGTCAGGCGAGTTTCCAATGGACACAACCTGCAAATCCCGACATTTCTGTTGTGTCATTTTTTGACAAAAGTGGTGCACCCTGGACAGGTCGCCATTTATGTTTACATTTTAAAGATTTAATCTTTATGGCAACATAAAAGCTGATGCATATCATTAATTAAATGGGTATTTAAGTATTTCATGGGTCCTGTAACGTCAACATAAAATAATTTTATCTGTCAAGCTCACATTTTTGAGCAGGGCTAATTATTTAAATGAGCTTTTGAGTCTTTGCATTTTAATAATATTGACATTTCATAAAATTGTTGTCTGTTAAATAAATGATTTAAACATTTAAATTGACATTTATTTATCTATTGGTTAATTAAATTGATGATTTTATGATGTACTGATTCATCCATCCATTTTCTGAACACCCTTGTCCCTCAGTGGGGTCGGGGGGGGTGCTGGTGCCTATCTCCAGCTAACGTTCTGGGTGAGAGGCAGGGTACACCCTGGACAGGTCGCCAGTCTGTCGCAGGGCAACACAGAGACACACAACCATGCGCACACACACACCTAGGGGCAATTTTAGACAGACCAATTAACCTAACAGTCATGTTTTTTGGACTGTGGGAGGAAACCGGAGTACCCGGAGAAAACCCACGCATGCACAGGGAGAACATGCAAACTCCATGCAGAAAGACCAGGGCCAGGAATTGAACCCAGAACCTTCTTGCTGCACGGCAACAGCTCTACCAACTGCGCCACTGTGCAGCCCGATGTACTGATTTATTCATTTAATTTTGACTCTTTTGGCCTTCCGTAAATTCTTCACTGAACCTGAAAGAGCAGAAAGAAGAAACAGCTGTTTCTGTGTGAGCTGGATCGCTCGTCAGGTGACAGAAGGACAGTAAAGCGTTGTTTTTCTCAGATGTGATGACTGCCATAAAATGTATTTAATGGACGAACGGCTGTAAATCAAAGGATCAGAGTTTATCTGCTCAACCCTGATGCTGTTATCATATCTTCACAGAACGCATCATTAAAAAAATCCCAACCAACAAATAAAAGCTTTGCTCTGACTTCCGGCCTGACACTGAAACAGTGAGAACAGATGATGAAGATAATTTTTTTTAAATTAATCTCAGAAAGGCTGAAGCAGCTTCACTGTCTTCATTGAGTCGTCCATAAAGGTAAATCATTCAGAGAGTTGGTTGTAAAAACACTATAAACCCTCAGAACCGATGATGACTGAAAAGCAAGTTTATTATGATCTTTGTGACACCTCATATACCAGCAGGAATACAGGAATGTTTTCAGCTGTTTCAGACATTTAATTCTTCATTTCATTTATGTTTTTATGTCATTTTTAAAGCAAATATTCCCTCAGTGAGACAGAAGAACAAACCAGCACTGTCAGAGAGGAGGCTGAAGCACAGCATGCCAGCATTTCTCCCTGGTAAAGTCTCATTAAAGCAGTGGTGGGCAAAGTGTGGGGCGGGGGCCACTTGTGGCAACTGAATATGTTAATCTGGCAATCACCTTCCTAAGCGATTTAGGTAAATTGTTCAGGATGGATAGATTATTTATGGATGATGGATGATTATAGAAGATTTGTATGTATGGATGGAGGTTTTATGGAAGATGGACGATGAACAACTAGATGGATGATACCCAAATGGATAGATGGATATCTAAATGTATGTATGAATGGATGGATGTGGCATAAAGCCACTGTCAGAGAGTTGGACTGACCAGATTTGGGCAGTGGGTACGTGGAGTTATAATACTCCTCAAAGAACTTCAGGATGGGTCCGGTGATGTTGAGGGCGTAGCTTCCTTGGCCAGCAGTGATGGCGGGCTTCCGGGCATAAATCCGGATCTGAAACGGAAACAAAAATCAAATTCTAACCCATAAATCCACAGATTTTAGACCTGATGTCAGATCCGAACCCAGTGAGTGTTAGTGTTACAGTGATTCACATAAAAGCTCCAAACAAATTCAATATGGTTAAAGAGACTGGAAGAGGTGAAGTACCTGAACCTTGTCAATGGTGTCCTGGATGAAGTCGTAGTCGCTGACGATGAAGGCCAGCAGATAGGTGGACATCTTCTCAGTGCGCTCAAAGACCGTCTGCTGCACCTCTTGACCATTTATGGTGACGGGTTTGGATTCTGTACAAAAACAAAAACCAAATCTACATTTTATTTATGATAATGTTTGAAGAGGATCCATCAACTTTGAAAAGCAAGGTTTCCAAATTTTAACTAGACCCAACAGACTTTCAATCATTTCCTATTCTTTTTGTTCTACAGTGTTCTGGATAGTATACCAGAGGTTCCTTGTTTAAGGTTGTCCAGCAGTCAGAGATATGAAACAGACCTTTTTCAGCGCCGTTGGACAGAGCCACAGTTTCCTTATCGTGGATCAGAGTGATGTCGAAATAAGCTTTCAGCGCCGGCTCGTCGAAGCAGGGGAACGACTTCCTGGCATCGGTCGCCTGCATCTGGGTGGTCGCAATGACCCTGGAGGGAACAGAGCAGCAGAGATCAGACATCCATCCATCCATCCATCCATCCATCCATCCATCCATCCATCCATCCATCCATCCATCCATCCATCCATCCATCCATCCATCCATCCAACCAAATAACTAAACCAGCCAACCAACCATATATCCAACTAACCAATCAACAATCCAACCAACCAACTAATCAGCCATACATCCAACCAACCAACCAACCAACCAACCAACCAACCAACCAACCAACCAACCAACCAACCAACCAACCAACCAAGCCATGCCTCCCTTCTTCCCTCCCTCCCTTGCAGTGAGCAACACTCAAATTCCCAACAAGAGGTTTTAAAGATGGCTGTTTATGGATCATGTTGCCGTGGCTACATCCATCCATTAGACCCTGTTACATAACAGAGGGGCAAAGTTCTCTGGGTTCCAGTGATAAAAAAAAGTCCATTAAGATGACAGAAACAAAACATCAAAGATAACCACCGTAAAACTAGAAGATTTGAAGATCCCTGATTCATAGTGAATCATTCGTTCTGTGAAAATTAAGCTAAAAATGTTCTCCTCTGAAGGATCAAAACAGCTTTCAGTTGAATCTTGAATAAGAATATTATAATTAATAATTAGAAAACAACATAGTTGTGCAGAACATTTAACAGCAGCATTTCAGCTCAGGGTGGAGGAGGACAACATTTTATTGAAACACAAACAGGGATTATTCTTACTTCTTGACTCCATCCTCTATGTACTCACTCCTGTAGAAACCTCCCAGATCGTCAGCCAGCTCTCCAGTGAACACGGTGTCGAGGCGATACTTTTGTCCTTTCACCAGTTTACCGTCCAGCTCCAGAACCAGGAACTGAGTCTCCTTCTGCAGCCAGGAGTTCTTGATGGATGGTGCGCTGCCACCGCCGGCGGCTGAGAGCTCCGCAAACTTCCCATTTGACTGCACCGTGTAGTTCAGTTTGTTAGAGTGGATAAGAATGAGATCCGTCTCCTCCACACACTCAAACTCCACAGATGAATTTCCTGAAACACAAGAAAACCATCAGAAATGTTTCAATTCAACTTCTGACTGAATGAAGATAAATTTAGCACCTCATCCAAACATCTTTCTGTTGCAGATATTTGCACATATGTTTCCCACTGTATGAGTTAAAATCAGAACTAAAACGTGCATCTGGACCCAATAATCAAACTAGTCCTGATCATTCAGTTTTCCAGAACTTAAGTGGAAAATTCAGGGAACTTTTTCCAATTGTTTTGACTGGACTAAATTGTTTTTAAACTGATCTCAGATTATCAGATGATCTTTTACCATTTCTGAGTTTAGTTAGAAAAATTCTGAAACTTTCAAAAAGTTTTAAGATGACTATATATATATATATATATATATATATATATATATATATACACAGATGTTACTCAATCTGTTTTGTTTGTTTTGTTTTGTTTTGTAATTTAATTGAAAATTAGTAGATCGCTGTGGATGTTGTACGTTTCTTCCACTTTTGACTCAAGATGCTTTTAGGTCTCTGAAACTTTCAGTCTACATCCATTTTAGTTGCTCCACACGATTTGGTTGGATTTTTAAAATTGATGCTGGGCTCAGTCCTTGTGGCTGAAGAAAGGCAGATTTAGACCTTAACTGTGATCTAGACTGAAGGTTTCCACCGTCCAGCTTTACCTGTGAAGATGTACAGCCCAGTCTTTGGATCTGGTGTCAGTCGGGGCCACAGAGTCACGCTGTAGTGGTGCGGCACCAGGGTTTTTGGCAGCCGATATTTGTCCCATGGTTCGTTGGAAGGGGAAGGTGTTGTAGGTGTTGTTGATGTTGTAGTGGGTTTAGAAGTGGTTCCTCCTCCCTGAGTTGGTGATGCCTCGTTGTTTTTGGATTTTTCCTGAGAGTAAACGACAGACAGAGCAATGATGGTGGACAGGGCAGCCACTCCTATTAAGATCCCTGCGACTGCAAGAGCTTTACTGATGAAGAAGCCTTTCGCCATGGTGTCAGTCTGCCTGCACTCAGACTCTGTAAGAAGTGATGCCTTTTGAACCTTTATTTGTAACCATTAAGCATCTGCCCCTCCCATTCACAGCAACAGGTGACATATTAACAAAGACCGGAACACCTACCTGAGCGGCGACTCCCTGAAACTTTAGAAACCCAAAATTTAATTTGAATTAATTCTCATTAATTGCCATTTAATTGAATTATAATAAGCTAAAGATAAGATCTTCTTTTCAGATTTTGCTCCCTCTTCTTGGACAGTTGCAGAAATATATATTTTAGGCTGTTTTTACTGATTTTGAGAAGGAATAATCTGTAAATGTTTCAACTAAGGATTTTTTAATTTATTTATTCATTAATGTTCTGTAATCTCTGTGTGCTGCTGCCAGCCTTGACCAGGATTCTCTTGCAAAGGAGATTTTTAACCTCAGTGGGTTTTCCTGGAGAAATAAAGGTTAAAAAAAAAATATTAATCAATGATCCAAATTTCCAGTGGCTGTTGATAAGTGGTTCCTGATTGCATCAAGACCCACTGATTACAGCACCAAATTTCAGAACCGCAGTAGAAAAATACACAGAAAGAACAGCTAGCTTGACAAAACAGTGAGAAATATCAGTTCAGGAGACAAAGACCAATAATCAAAACCAAGGTAAGCTAAGCTAAACAAAATGCAGCTAGGGTAAACACATCTAAAGCAAGCTAAGTAAAGTATATTACTCTAAACTTAAATTACAAAACCTATACTAAACTGGCTGATAAGGTAAGCTACACAAAATGTTACTAATTTAAATGAAGCTAAGTGCATCTAAAATAAATAAATAAGCTAAGCTAAAGTGAGGTAAGTTGTTCTAACTAAGCTCAATGAAATGCAAGTATGATATTCTAAACTAACATGAACTATGCCAAACTAAAAGGAAATTAACTCTAAGCTAAGCTAAATTACACAAAATGCAGCTAGAATGGGAAAACCTAAACAAGCTAAGCTAAACTAGCTTGTTTAGATAAGCAGAACTAGATTAAACTCAGCAACGAGTAATTAACATGAAATGGAAAATTTTATTCTAAACTAACAAAATATAGTTAAGATATGCAAAATGAAACTAGGCTAAACTCGTTTAAACTAAGCTAATGTGAAAGAAGTAGTACTAAACTTAGCTGATAGACTGAAACAAAGCTAATATAAGCAAAGCTAAGTTATACCCAGCTGAGATGACCAAAGCTAAAATGATGTAAGCAATACAAAATGTGTTAATTTACGGTAAACTTAACTAAACTACCAACAACATGTTACTGAGCTAATGAAAAGAAAACGTGGCCTGGAGGCGAACAGAATTTGTCTCTAGAAATTGTTTTTGATAAAAACTCATTCTGAGTTTTGTATTTTCATAAAACAATAAAAGTAACAAAAAGAGTTAGATAAACAGTAGAAGAAATCTACTTTTTATTTAGAGTTCACAGCATCAATATTTCAAAAGAAGTGAATGTGAAACAGAAGACGTGAAACACAGTTTTAAACTTCTCTATTCGTTAATGAGTACATTTCCACCACTTGGTGTAATCAGATTTTATCTCATGGGTTGGACCTTAACAGGTGGGCAATTTTCCATCTTCTTTTTATTTTATGAATATTATTTTATGGTTTTGCAGCAGTAAAGCAGAGTCACGATGAGGAGGCATAAAAAAGGTTATGAAACATCAGATTCAGCTCCAGTCCTTAAGCCTTTTACTTACTCAATTATTTATGTTCATGCATGTCACTTACAATCCAATTAAATTACTGTGTGATAATGAAACAGTAGGGTTCAGAATTTTCTTCTTCACAAATTTGACATAATCAAGCAATTTTTACCACTGAATGAATATAATGAAAACAAGAAAGCAGTTTTGAAATTATTTTATTTATTTAATAAGAGAAAATGTATACAAACCAAAAAGTAAACACCTTTCTTTGTTTTTGGCTTTGTGTTTTAATTTTAGTAACTAAATACACACCAGATTAGTTCCAGAGTTTTAGAATCAAGAAATTGTATGTTTGAATGTTTGAAATATTAATTAGGCAAAGGAATCCAAATTTACTCAACAAAGGGAGGGAAAGAAAGTCCACAAATATAAAATATCAATTTTATTTTATTTTCCTGTTTGGAAAGAAAAAACCTCAATGATAACTGGGTTTTTCATCCAGCTTGACCGTTGCAGTTTAATTCTGTTCTGTTTATCATTCTCAATGATACCAGTGAAAAGTCATGACATTTAGTCGTTTAGTAAAAAATATTTCATTTTATCTAAACATTAATTTAAGTTTGTAATTTATTCAGTTTAATTCTTGTTTTCAACAACATTTCAGGATCTTTATGCTTGAAGAGAACAAAGACAGAAAACACAAGAAATCAGGGGACCAAACAAAGAACCTTGAGGTTTGTTTTACTAAACCTTCGATGAGGCATAAGTCTCATCATGACTTGGATGATCAAGTCAGTGTCCATAATTCATTAGTTTTGACTTCGTGCTATTAACTTTGAGTTCTGCTGCTTGATTTTTCTTTACATAACAACATAGATCCATATCACTAGTAAGCATCAAGCTACCTTAAATAGGACAAACTTTGGGAATATCACCAACAAGCTAAAGCCGAACACACAAGCTTGAGGTACACCAAGCCTCATATTAGCGTTTAAGAAAATGATGATCTGTGCAAACATATTTTGATCCTTACATCCACTTTATGGTGACATCAACTTTAAAAAGATGTTGTAAACTATTTTCTTTTGCAAAGATATTGCTCCAAAATATCTGCTTTTAGAAGTTTGTGAAATATTTTGTGTTAATGTTTAAGTCTGATTTTTCCTGATTTTTTGTGACAGGAAAAATATAAAAAAATGAATAGCCTAGACTGAAAAACCTGGACGTGTCACAATGGACATCTGTTAAAATCAAAGATAATAATAAACATAATGTCCCCTAAACTTAACTACAACAAATAATATTTTATCACACTTCCCTGTATCTCTGGGATGATAAAAATACCTTTTCATCAACGTGCCACTCTCCTTGACATTCCTGATTGAATAATAACTAACTTTAGAGTTTGCTCTAAAGTCAGAGCAAACCCTAAATGTTCTCACGTGAAGTTTTTCTTATGTCACGAGAAAAACTCTCCTTTCAAAAAGGGAAAATTACGAGGTCATATAAAACAAAATAGGTTTGATTTCCATGTGTTTATTGGAAATTACGGTTAAATATTTTTCAGTTATGATGATGATAATGTCAGTGAGTGAGTCTGAATGCAGAGGTTTCACAAGCGACCGTTTATGTGATTATGTTATGGCCTTTTTATCTTGTTTTATCTCTCATGAAAGTTTTGACTCTTTCATGACTCATTATCAACCCAAGCCAAAGATGAAAGAGCCAAGATTGTGTATAGACATAAGTTCAGATTATTAGATAAATAAGTGTTTGTCATTTGAAGGAAAATAAAAAACAAAATTCAAATTTACAACATAAAAAGTGCCAGTTTTTGTCAGTTTTTTAAACTATTTTAGCTCCAAATTTTAAAAGTAAATATACCAAAATATGCTTCAGCTCCAAAACATAGCAGGAAGTAACAACCCAAACAAAATAACATTTTGTTTGTATTGTTAATGCTTGCAGGATATCAACTGCATTTTTTTTAACGGTACTTACAGTGTGTTCCCAGGCAAATAAGTATATCTGCAGAGTATTACAGATACTTTTTGGTATTTGCATTGTTTCAGGGTAATTACAGGATACCTTTGGTGTATTTTTAGGTGATCCACAATATTTGGTGAGTAATTCTTTCCAGTTGTAACAAGGTTTTAATTTAACAGCATTATAGATGTGAAGTTTGTCAGAATTTGTTTATTCATTCTTCAAATTAATTTTGTTTAGTCAAGAAGTTGTTTCTCCAGACTTTATTTGTGTATTAAGTTTTTCTTACATTGCTCCTGACAGTTGGTGGTTACCGTAGCAACCAGTAACTGACAGTTTGTCCCCCTTCTTCTGTTGCCGTCTGTATTAAGGTCAGTTCTTTGTTTTCTTTACAAGTACTATATTTTAGTATATATTTTAGACAAATTTAATCATAGGCAGTGTTTCATGAGTAATTTTTGCCATGTTTGGTATATGTTTTTAACTGTTATCATTATTAATGTGTATTTTACCCCTGTTTAATTTTACAACTGTTAACTGCTGTCAACTGCTAATTAGCGTTATTTATTGTATTTTATTTAAAGTATGGGGCAGAAGCTGCTGGACTGATGTAAACCACTGACTTGATTTCCTCTTTTGTTATAATAAATACAATGAACCTGAGTGTGTCTGTTGTGAAGTCAACTTCCTGGAACTGAGACAAACAGAAGGGTTACGCAGTCAATCAATCAATCAATAAATTTTATTTGTGTAGCACATTTCAGCAACAAGGCAGTTCAAAGTGCTTTACATCATAAAAACACAAAAAGTACAAAGTCATGAAGCACACAGTCAACAATTGAAATGACTTGCAGGATACCAATGGGGCGCATTCTTAAATAAGCCGTTACAATATCAAGTGTTCTTTAATTACTGAGGTGTAGGCTGAGAGTTGGTAAGTTTCATTTGTCTGTCTGTATTAGACCCTTAGTTTTCAATCACAAATCGTATGAAGACACTTACCGCCAGAAGTTTATGACTTCTGAGTTTCTGAGTGTTTTAAACGTCACACCATCCTGATAAACATACACAGTGCTCTTTACTCCAAGAGTAGTCAATAAAGATAAATAAGTGATGGTGAAAGAGATAAAAAGAGCATGAACCCAGAATAAATCCCCAAACTCACATCAGTTTCATTTATCAACTGTTTGAACACATTGATCTAATTTTGCAGAAACCACCACACCCATAATTATAGGCAGAAATTTATTACAGGGTGTACTTTCACCTCAAGCACACAGATGTCAGAAAAACTGCAAAATGTTACATCTTAAGGTCATTACACATCACATAAATCTGCCAAAGTATTTTTA